GACGGGGGCCGGCAGCGGCCAATCTTAGGGAAGCTCTGCCTGCCTTCGTGTGCCTCTGCCCTGTCGCGGGCTCGTGCCCCAGGCCGAGGGAGCCGCAGCACCGGCGGCCCCTCGCATGAACCCACGGGATGGAAGCACCGATTTGATTTTCTCCCTTTTCTTTCCTTCCCTTTGGCTCTAGGGTGATGGTGGCGTGCGCCTGCGCACACCAGGCTGCCACTGGTGACGGCGCCAAGACGTTCGTCATCTTCCTCTCCAGCCTGCTGCAAGGCCTTCTGATGGCTCTCGGCAAGGGGGTGGCAGCAACGGCATCTCCCGTTCCTCGGCGGGGGCAGAGAGGGAACAGCTGCATCGGGCGGAAGGAAATCGCTCAGTCCCTCGTGGCCTTTCAGACACGAGTACTGGACCAAGTGGTGACGCAGGACCTAGGGAAGCACTTCCTGTCTGCTTTCCCTCACCGCACAGCTGGGATCGAGAGGCCTATGTTGGAGTCCATATTTGAAGCTTACTTATGTGGAAGGATAGGAAGAACTCACTTGAAGTTTCTTTCCCAGTTGGGCTGCGATTACTATTACCTGTGCATGCCGTGTGAGACGGGAAGCAACGAAACGCTGAATTTCGTGAATGACTGCTTCATGGAATTGCACACTGCTGTGACGGGCCTTCCGGTTTCCAGCTCCAGGGTCCTGGATGGACTTGTTCTTCAGAGAGATTTTGTTGCATACTGTCCAGCAGATGGTGACATAAGAATGTTAATAGTCACAGACTCTATCCTTCCTGCTCTTTCTGCCTCTGGTGTAGAGTTTATTGTGAATACGCAGGTTCAGTATCAAGCTTCTCAAGCTTGGATTTCCAAAAGAACAGAAGCTGTAATGAAATACTTGCAGAACCACAAGGTTAAGGTGTTACTGTCACGTGCGAAGCAAGAGGAAATGGTTATTTACTATGCAAAACTAAGTGGTATATCTGTGGTACATTGTTTATCACCAGAAGAAGTCTCTCTTCTTTGCAGGATTACAGGAATCTCACCATTCAGATATTGGGACAACATACATAGTGAGATCACTGAAACTGCCACAGCAAAATTTTGTCGGCCTATCCTACTTGGCTCCAAGAGATACGTTCATCTTGGTTTTTCAGGAACATCTGCTTTTCGGCCTCATTGTGTAATTCTTTGTGGACCAGTGCATGGTGTTACAGAGCAGCATGCATCTGCTTTTCATGGAGCGTTTAAAATGTTACAGCTACTGTTTAAAGCAGTTGATCAAACTGACAGATGTAAAGAGAAAACTGAACACCCAAATAAATCTTCAGATGCTTTGGGTTGTAGTTGCCATTCAGCTACTCCACAGAAATTCAAAACGGAGGATGTTATGCATAGCAGTGACAAGACCACTGATCAACAACTGAATGTTATTAGGTCTGAAAGGGAAAGCCAGCTGACAGACTCTGCCATGGGGACAGGTGAAAATCCAGCATTTGTTCAAAAAGATTTGCAGAAATCCCTAAACCTTGCTGTGCCCATCACAGAAATAGAAAATGATAAGTTTCCAGGGCTCACTAATAAAAGTCCTTTTTTAGGAGAGACAGAGAACTTGCATTTGAAATATAGACATCCAAGTGAAATACAGGTTAAGGGTGAAAGTAAGCCAGTTGTCTCTAACCAACACATTTGTAAGGTTGCCACAGCAGTGGCAGGAAATACCAGTACTGAAGTTGTACCCAGACATCTGAGCACTATTAAGGACTGCTGGAAAGAAAGCAGTGAGTTAGTTCCATTTGAGGATGAGAGCAGTTATAAAAGTTCTGTTCAAAATTATTCTGACTTGTTCATACAGGCAGGATCAGTATTGCCAGTAGGAGGTAACTTTGAGATCTTACTGCATTATTACCTCTGTAACTATGCAAAACAATGTCAGCAATCAAAAATAAGTATTATTTCTACTGTAATTGCTGATGCATTGCTAAGTATTCCAGAAATCCTTTACAGGACAGAGAGAGGCAGTGGTTTTCCTAAGTTCTATCTTGAAGCCATCAGTGCACTCAGAAATAATCAGCCACTGCCCAGGCCTCAAAAAGGCCTAGAATCAGTGTATTGTAAATACCTGCTGGTTGCTTCTGTTCTTCATTGTGTTACAAAGCTTCTCTCTGTTGACTTGATAATTGGTATTAAGAGACTGCCTCAGATAACTGAGGCTAATGATTCCGAAGAAGACTTGTGAAAATGATGAGGGGTTGTTTTTTTTTTTTTTGTTTATCACGTGTTCTGGACAACAGGCACGCCAAAGCTCACTGCAGGCATTAATAGAGCCAATTTGAGCTAATGTGCCTGTTTCTGTAACAGTAAAGGAAGGTATAAGCAGATCAACTTCAGGTTATTTACTGCTGGTGATCTCCACAAAAGTTTCGTAGTTTCAAGCACAAAGGTTACAGTATGCAGGTGCTGGCTGTCTACACTGCTTACTGTATCATGGTGCAGAGAGTCTTATGTGGGTCTCTGCCCATGAATGAAGCCTGTCTCATTTTGAGGTTTAGTAATGCAAATTAGCTTTGGCCCTTTGTTTTCTGACAAGTTACCAGACTTTACAAGATATTAAGTTAGCTGAGAACAAGGTTTAACAACTGTCACAATTTCTCTTTAGTTTTCTTAACCTTAATAAGGAGTTGAATTATGTGTTTATAAGCAGTTTGATATCTATTTTTACTGTTAAAACATGGAGGCAGTAAGCTGTAGGCCACTGCATTTCATTCCTGTGAAAGACTGCTACAAAATGAGTGCCAGCTTTTTTATTTTCTGCTGAAATAAATGTTGGCCAAACAAACAATGCTAGGAAGTAAACTCGCATTCTGTCTGGCCCACTGTTTGTTCTGACAGACTAACTTGTCATGCGGTATTATTTCTGACTCCAGTATTGAGCTGTACTGGCTTATATCCTGGTGCTATTATAAAAATAAGCTGAGGCAAAGAGAGAAATGCACCTTTTTTGTTTCAAGGTTAGTCTGAACTTGATGTATTAATTTTCATGTGTTTCAGCTGTCTCTCTTTTATTTGTGTGCTGCATGTTTCAGGGTAGGAGGCAGATAGTCAATAAATGAGCAACTGCAACCACAAAAGGTATCATTTGTTCCCTTTGTAGAATTACTGCACTGTATATGATTCCTGTTGGTATTCATATTAAGTAAACTGCCTTTAAATTAAAGTAGTATGAGAAATTTAAAAATCATATGATATAAGCAAAGCATTCAAGCCAGTAGTTCTCATCCTTTTTAAACTTAAGGTACCCCCTGTAATTTTTGTGAATTTTCCAGCTCCCCATTTCAAAAATTAATTTATTATTACAGCGTTTACCTCCTTGTAGAATGACTAGGCAGTGGGTGGGAGAGGAGAGTGGTCAGGCATCTTCAAACCTAAATCTGTGCTTATCTCTGTGCAGGCCGACTTCCGATCTCGCCTGGGTCGCCATGTGCGAGCCGGGGGCGAGCCGGGCCCGTCTCTTGTGTGTACACAGGCTGTGGCCGGTAGCCTGGGTACACGGGGTTGGAGAAAACCGCGGTGCGGTATGGCACGCTCTAGCTAGAATCAGTCACAGAGGCGTAATGGTTGATTGAAAAGATTATTTACTTACACCCAAGGTGGTCGCGGTGCAGGCTGGTCAGCTTTCCAGGCTCAGCTCCGCTTGAGTTCTCGGTGGAGGACTCTAATAAACTCGGTTCCTTGACCCCGGAGTGATTCAGGCTCCGCGGGGTTCAAGAATTCGTTCCCACGGAGCAGCTGTATCTCCGTGAGTGTTACTCGGTTCCCAGGTCCCCCGGAGCTGTTAAACTCCGTGGGCTCAACAATTGGGTCCTTAGGATAGGGATACGTCTGGACTGCGATCGGCGACGGGGAAAGGCTAGAGGTTAGTTGCCTCGGAGTCGTTAAGGCTCCGAGGGGACGGTAAATAAGTCCTGCGAAGTTGTTGAAGCTCCGTGGGTTCGACAATTAAACCTCTGTTTCCCTCTTAAGGAAAAGCTGGGTTCGTATGGATCAGCAGTGCTTAGAGATCCTCACGCTCCTTTCCCGAACTCCGCATGCTTTCTCTCTCTGACTTGGGCGGAAACCACCCAAGCCTTTTGTACGGCTAGCAAGCCAATAGCTAGCCGCCACGTGTGTCTGCGTTAAGACTGGCCAATAATGTGGTGCGAATCCTAATACAAATGGCAGGGACTCCTTGCATCGCGCATTACTATAATGCAAAAGAAATGCACTATGCAAAGAAAGCTACAGAACTGGCGGGAAAAGCTCCTGCACACGGGTTCTCTGTTGCAGCAGAACACTCCACCGTGCAAAAGAGCTGCAATTTGGCGGGAACATGATTTAGCGATGCCGAAGCGCACACAAACAAAAAAACCCACAACTTTGGGTTGTGACAATTTCCTCACACCTGCTTATCTCCTCATGCCTCCCATCCTCCTTCAGAGGATCTGGTGGTATCCCAGATTGCCACAGCGGCATGGCTGAGAATCACTGACTCAAGCAATTAAAACTGGAATTCAGATTGATCACCATTTGTGCGTCCCTTTTGCATCTTAATAAATGATGTCATTTTCACTGGAGTTCTTCTCAATTTTTTTTTTCAGATACTGCAAGAACATTTTCTACAAATATAATTTTCTCATTACAATTTTTAAAACTTCTTGGTACCTTGTTAGCTTTTGGTTTTGTAAAAGTTTGTATTTTTGGTATTGCATTTTTAAGCAAACATTTACTGTGCCACTTGAGCAGTTTTAGGCAGCTTGAGTAAGAAGAATTGCACTAAGAAAGTTGCTTAAAGAAACATGTTGTGATGCCAAGGGTGACTTTTTTGCTTTAATGAAAATATGGCTAAAGTGAAGCTCATTCGGTTCTAATGTGTCCCCTGAGGCTACTTTTGTGTGTCTAGCATGTGATACTCTGTGTCTAGCCCCAACCTCTGGTATCTGGAGTGCATTGTCATAGAAAGCTGAAAACAAGACAAGCGCACCCATATTAGTTGACAGGGTTGCACTGGGGGTGCAGTCACACTCCCCTTGGCTGTGGACTGCATGTGCAGTGAGCTCTCCTAGCTCATCAGCTGCGTCTCGTGTGGGAACTCTGCCTGTTCAGGGAGCTCTCTGAGCTCACCAGCTGGTTGGCATGGGCTCTTTCTGAAGCCACTGCTTTCATGTGGCTCCAGGGTGCAAGGCATAAGTGATGTCACCATTAGCCCCCACTTTTCCACTACCCCGAATTTGGCACAGGGAATGGTTGGGGGGTGGGGGGGGGACAAAGGGGCAAATGGAGGGAAGCAGCAGCCATCTCACAGCATCTCCATGTTTCTGTTCTAGGCAGAAAATTAGCTGCCCTGCTTAGTTTTGAAAGGGTATTTTTTGGAAAAAAGGTAAGTATTAGGGGTACACCAATAAAGAATTTCTTCGCCGATACCGATAGCCGATTATTAACCAGCTATATTGACCCATACCAATCCAATAACTGGTATTACCTGGGGGTTGAGTCATGCCAGGCTGCATGGGCGACTGGTGTCCTGATCCTGGGAGGGCACCAGCGGCCAATTGGGGCAGGGAGGGGGTGGTCCCCCAGTGTCTGATAGCTGCTGGCAACAAACTAGAAGTGCCGCTGGTGCTTCTATCGCAATCCCTACTCTCTCAGGGCGGAGAGGGCACCAGCTGTCGCCCCCCACTCTGGCTGGTGAGTGCCAATCTTTGTGGGGGTGGATATGCCCCGCCTACACATCCCTATGCCAGGCCAGGTTGGGTTGGGCCAGGCAGCTCAGCTCTGCCCCCACCACCTCCCAACCCCAGTCATGCCTGCAGCATTCCACACTGTTTACAGCACCCACTCTGGCCACAGTCTGCACCACACCAGCGCGCAGGACACTGCAGCAGCTGCTCTGCTCCAGCCCAGCCTGGCCCACTGGTGAGGGGCTGGGGGTATTTCTAGGGTCACACTGGCTCACAGGAAGGAACCCAGGCATCCAGGGGCCCTGGCCCTGCGGGCGGGAGGGAACCCAGGCATCCAGGGGCCCTGACCAGAAGGCATAATTATTGGAGAACGTTATTGGCTACAACAGCCAAAAAGTCAATAGCCAATAATGTAAATTTCCCTTTTATTGGTGCCAACCCAATAGGTAAGCAATATGTCAGTGCACCTCTAATGAGTATGATGCACAAATAAATATAGTATGACTTCACTTTTGCTGTTCTCAGTATAGTTAAAACATTAAGAAATAGAGATCAGTTGTGAATCTCTATTCTCTCTGTATTAAGGTTGGATGGGAGAAATATGACAAAATGTTATCCACTTCACATTTAAATGTTTAAAATACCTTTGTGTTTCTCCATTCCATTTCTTCACCCTCCCCCAACCCACTTTCATACCTCACTCACATTTAAGTATGAACAGGTCTAACAAATGTATTGGTATTGGGGGGCAGGGGACGGTACTGATACAAATTATTACTATAGAACTGTTACCTCTGCATGATTCTCTGGTGATACAATTGTACTGTTCCAACTGTAACACTGCTTTGTTCAGGTCAAAGTTTGGGCAGTTTAGCTAACTTGTATCCCTACAAGATTATGCAAATAAATCAAAATGTGCATCAGATCTTCCTCCTCTTTTAAAGTGGCTAAAGTGTATGTTTGTCCATGTGGCAAGCCAGTAGCGGGTGCTCCTGCGTTGAGCCACCCACCTCACTGCATCCAACCACCTTCCAGGCTCTGAGTGCCTTCCTGGGGGTGCCCCACATCCAGCCAACCTCCTTCCTGGAGCACATCTGCAAGCCTGGGGGTAACACCACCACCACCCAAGGTCTGGATTGATCTTGGCCCTGTGCGCCCTGGGAAACACAGGCCTAGTGGTCCTTGAGGGTACTTGACCCACTGCAAGAACTTGGGGTGCTTCCCTCAGTCTGAAGCACAAATAGGTCTCCCTTAGTCAGGCAAACCAAGGGGACCCCAAGGCATAACCTAGCTCCTCTCCCAATAAGTCTCCCATGCTAGGTACAAAGGAGAACTTCATTGGTTACAAGGAGTAGGTTTGGAATAGGGTACAGGGTAGAGCAATATCAGAGATGTACCTTAGAGCAAACAGCAGCATGGTAGCCTTTGATCACGCATTGGAGTTACTGCAAGCTATATATCTAGTTAGATCTCAGGTAGCTTACTCACAAGTATCATCCAGAGGCAGGGGGAGATTCCATGTGGAGGCAGGCAGTTCATTGATCATGAGTTTCAAGAGAGGGAGCAAGTTTCAGATGGTCCAGCTCTTCTCTCTCTGAGTTTTCATTATGGCTACTGCTCCTCCTCCTGGGCAGTCCTTAACTTATATAGCCCTTATGACCTCATTTACCTGATCCAATGAAGGCCAGCAACTGTTGGCTGCCAGCAAACCAATTTGAAATGCATCACTGATTGCCGGGTAGACTGGCAGGGGCTCTAGCCCCCTCCTAGTCATGATGACATTGCTTAGAACAATAGGGAGTTTAAGCCCCCACCCAGGTGTGTGAGGCCAGTCATGTAGGCAGAGGGAGCAGGTTTCCCCCTCCCTCAGGAATGTATCCAGCTCAGGTTACAATTTAGGGTTACCTGAAGCTGATGGGGCCAGGGAGATCTGCCCTCTGCAGTGACCATGGTAACCAAATTGTCAGATTAGGCATCCGCCTGATAACAGAGGTTGGGAAGAGACAGAGATGGCATTCTGCCACAGTCCATATCCTTTATTTCATGACTGAACAGTTACCAAGTCAAGTATTGGCGGACAAGTTTCTTTGAGTAAATCCAATATCTTTTATTAGCCCAACTCAAATAGTTGGAAAAATTCTTATTGTAATTTATCCACTTTTCTGTCCTTGTAGTTTGGGAGTCACAATTTTTCACTTTTTAGCTATTCATGCCCTGTCACTTTTGGTCAGCTGAAAAGATGCTGCACCTCTTCCCGCAGATTTGGGACTTCGGTCACCATTTATGACTAAAATTGGCAGCAGGGCAAAAGGGGGGTGGGGGAGTGGTGAATGGCAGTGGTGTTCACCTCCCTGGGTTCCAGAGCTGCACCACTACATCAGCCACAGCAGTTGCACTGACAAGCTGCTGCCCCGCTGCCAGAAGTAGTTTGTCTAGCTTGTGAAAAGTCCGCAATCTGAATACAGCCCATGAGACAAAATGAATTGGATGCCGGCAGCCTTTGGCATTTCTTTTGATTAAGATATGTAGGGATATATTTTAAAAAGCTCTCCACCCCAACACAATGATTGCATGCCTGTTTTAAGCATCATAATCCATATTGGGAAGAGATGGCATTATTTACACAATCATATGACTGTCCTTAAAAGATATATGCAGAAATGTTATCCACACAGAAGAAGCATGTTCATAGAGGCCACATTTTGAAAATTTGGTCAGTAGAACAAGTCCAGGA